AAAATGTCCTTCTCTGTTCCCGAGTCTGAATGTAATCTTCTTGAAGCAAGCCATCTGGGACAGGCATGCTTAGTTATAGTAGTATTTGCTCTTCAATGCAAAGGCTGATTTTCTTCACTGTCATTAGTCCAAGCATCAGTAAGGTTTCTCTTTTACAGCTAAGTTCCCACTATAAGAAGAATCTTCTAAAATCAATATATGAGGTGAAAATGCTATGTGTGATAAAATGTTACAGATAAAGTATTGTAAGAGATGATACATCTCTTTCTTTCAAAGAAGAAGGGGGCAGATTGGGGGCACAGTAAGGTGTTATGAAGGAAAAAGCAAGAACTGAAAGACAGGGTAAGAACACTGAATTATGATTTGGCCACACAAAAACATACCAGAAAGAAATAATAATTTGACCTGCTCAGCCAAAGAAACGACATGGTCAAATTAATGTATTTTCATCTACAATTATAAAAAAGATAGGTTTACATTTCTTTATAATAATTTAACCTGGTACCAAGATACAGCAATGTTATAACCTAGGTTTTCAGAAGCATCCTGCACCTTTTAATACCTCTTTTTTTCTTAACACCAGGTTGAATGCTTTTAAACAGTTCTATTTTCAAAAGGAGTACTGATTACCACCCATTTGAAGAGAGCAGTCCTCAGAAGGACTTAAGTTCATCTTGTGCTTTTGTAAACATAAACCACTTTGGGGCTGTCACACTCTTGAAATCAGCCATGGGTTTTCAGACTTAAACAAGAAAAGGCGATGTCTTCAGGATCTACACCTGAAACTTTTTCAGCAGGCAACAAAATAAAAATCTGTGGGTAAAATTCAACATCCACTATCTGAAGCAAAATTTCAGGTCCAGATCATTCATTTTAAGAAGAGTTTAAGTGATTACAGAATCACAGAATCAGCTAGGTTGGAAAGGATCTTGAAGATCATCTAATTCAACCATTAACCTAACACTGACAGTTCCCAACTACACCATATCCCTCCAGCGCTATGTCAACCCAACTCTTACACACCTCCAGGGATGGGGACTCCACCACCACCCTGGGCAGCTCATTCCAACTCCTAACAACCCCTTCTGGAAAGAAATGCTTCCTAATACCCAGTCTGAACCTTCCCTGGCACAACTTGAGGCCGTTACCTCTTGTCCTATCACTTGTTACTTGGTTAAAGAGGCTCATCCCCAGCTCTCTGCACCCTCCTTTCAGGCAGCTGTAGAGGGCGATGAGGTCTCCCCTCAGCCTCCTCTTCTCCAGACTAAACACCCCCAGTTCCCTCAGCCGCTCCCCGTACAACCTGTGCTCCAGACCCTGCACCAGCTCCGTTGCCCTTCTCTGGACACGCTCGAGTCATTCAATGTCCTTTTTGTAGTGAGGGGCCCAAAACTGAACACAGGAATCGAGGTACAGCCTCACAAGTGCCGAGTCCAGGGGTCAGATCCCTTCCCTGTCCCTGCTGGCCACGCTATTGCTGACACAAGCCAGGATGCCATTGGCCTTCTTGTCCCCCTGGGCACACTGCTGGCTCCTGTTCTGCTGGCTGTCAATCAACCCCCCCAGGTCCCTCTCTGACTGGCAGCTCTACAGCCACTCCTCCCCAAGCCTGTAGCGCTGCTGGGGGTTGTTGTGGCCCAAAGGCAGCCCCCGGCATTTGGCCTTATGGAAACTCCCCCAGTTGGGCTCAGCCCATGGCTCCAGCCTGTCCAGGTCTCTCTGCAGAGCCTCCCTACCCTCGAGCAGATCAACACTCCCACCCAACTGGGTGTCAGCTGCAAACTGACTGAGGGTGCACTCGATCCCCTCGTCTAGATCATCAATAAAGATGTTAAACAGGAGTGGCCCCAAAACCGAGCCCTGGGAGATACCACTCGTGACCGGCCACCAACTGGATTTAACTCCATTCACCACAACTCTTTGGGCCCGGCCATCCAGACAGTTTTTCACCCAGCAAAGCGTGTGCCCATCCAAGCCACGAGCAGCCAGTGTTGCCAGGAGAATGCTGTGGGAAATGGTGTCAAAGGCCTTACTAACGTCAAGGTAGACAACATCCACAGACTTTCCCTCATCCAATAAGCAGGTTGCCTTGTCATAGAAGATCAGGATTGTCAGGCAGGACCTGCCTTTCATAAACCCATGCTGACTGGGCCTGAGCATCTGGTTGTCCCGCAGGTGTTGTGTGATGGCACTCAGGATGAGCTGCTCCATCAGCTTCCCGGGCACTGAAGTCAAGCTGACAGGCCTGTAATTTCCCAGATCATCCTTCCGACCCTTCTTATATATGGGCATCACATTGGCCAATTTCCAATCTGTTGGGAACTCCCTGGTCAGCCAGGACTGCTGGTAAATGATAGAAAGTGGCTTGGCGAGCACCCCAGCCAGCTCCTTCAGCACCCTCGGGTGTATCCCATCTGGTCCCATAGACTTGTGTGTGTCTATGTGATGCAGTAGGTCACTGTCTCCTGGATTGCAGGGGCTCGTTCTCCCAGTCTCTGTCTTCTGGCTGAGGAGGCTGGATTCCCTCAGTACAACTACTCTTGTTATTAAAGACTGAGGCAAAGAAGGCATTAAGCACCTCAGCCTTTTCCTCATTACTTGTTACCATGTTTCGTCCTGTGTCTAGCAGGGCATGGAGGCTCTCTCTGGTCTTTCTTTTGCTACTTACATACTTATAAAAACATTTCTTGTTGTCCTTGATTGATGAAGCCAGATTATTTTACAGCTGGGCTTTAGACCTCCTGATTTCCACCCTGCATTGCCTCACAGCCTCTTTGTAATCACTGTGAGTGGCTAGTCCCTTCTTGCAAAGGCTGTAAACTCTCCTTTTCTCCCTGAGTTGCAGCCTAAGCAACTTGTTCAGCCAGAGTGGTCTTCTCTGTCACCAGCTTCTCTTAGAGCACCTGGGGACCACCTGCTCTTGAGCCATTAAGACTTTCTTCTTAAAGAGTTCCCAGCCTTCCTGGACCCTTATACCCTTCAGGACCATCTCCCAAGGGATCCTTTCAAGCAGGTGCCTAAACAAGACAAAGTCAGTCCTTTTGCAGTCCAGGATGTCAGTCCTGCTTGACCCTCTCCTGGCCTCTCTAAGAATAAAGAACACTATTATTTTGTGATCATTGTGCCCTAGTCACCCTCCAACCACCCCATCATCTCCCAGTTCTCTGTTCACAAAGAGGAGATCCAGCAGGGCACCTTCTCTGGTTGGTTCTTTTACCAGCTGCGTCAGGAAGTTGTCTCCCACACATTCCAGGAATCTCTGGGACTGGTTCCATTCTGCTGTGTTGTATTTCCAGCAGATGTCTGGGAAGTTAATGTCACCCACAAGAACAAGGGCAAGCGATCATGAGATTTCTCCTAAGTGCCTACAGGATATTCATCCGCCTCTGTCCTAGGTGGGTGGCCTATAGTAGACTCCCACTACAACATCTGCCCTGTTGGCCTTCCCCCTGATTCTAATGCAAAGACACTCTACCCTGTCTTCACTACACTTGTGCTCAAAGCAATTGGTTGCTCTAGCTATTAATGTTTTGAGTAAGATCATAAACTAAACCTGAATCCAGACTAAAACATGTAACTGAAACACCTCTGTGGGCAATCAGAAATCACAACTGGAATTTTTACCTCATGCCAATTTCTAATTGCAGTATAACTTACTTCCATTATTGCTTTATAGCTGCAAACCAACAGCGCCATCCACTGTTTTTCTGAGAAAGCTTTCAAATATTTTCCCAAATGGTCTTGAATACTGAACGATGTACCAGCAAAATTAAAACTCTTCTATCAGTCTGTGTTTGCAACAGATCATGTGTGGCCAAAACTTTATTTAGGTACTTAAAGCAATTCTCATTTTAACTCAGCTGTAATTCCTAATTCTATATTAATAACAAGAACATGCCCATTTATCTAATCTTGGGTGGATGCTGTAGAAGGAGCCAAGTTCATGAATTCTCTAAAATGGATGCTTTCTCTCTGGTGATTTCACTCCAAGTGGCTTGTCATGCCAACCTTGTACTTGTAAGTTTCACACAGCTTTATATGGTTATAGAAATCTTTAATATAATAAAAAGTTTCTTAGTCCTAAGGAAAAAAAAAAAGGCTGAAATATCAATAGATGTTTTCATTTCAAGTATCATGAAGGTCTGTATTGACATGCAAATTATAAAGACAAAACCTTTATAATCAATTTTATGTGAGTCATAAACATGCTAGTGCATGGTCTTAAGGATTCCCTGAGTGACATGAAAAATCTAAGGCTGAAGTTCATCATTAACTCTCACTCTGAATTGTCATTGTTAATCCTGCAACAGGCTTTCCTACTGAGGTGGCTTTTTTCATACTGATGGCAAATATTAACTTTTGGGGAATGCAGGTATAGTTTAAGCAATATGCATTTTGTGTTACTGTAAGAATATGCATTAGTATAAAATTATATTATTATAGAAATTACTATTTTTATCTTGTCACTTTAGGACCGTTGTTTCCCTCCACTGAGTGGAGGACAATTGAAAAATGCTGTGTACAGACTCTTAAGCTGATTTTCTTTTTTTCTTAAGCAAAGGGCAGTGACAACACGCATTTTGTTTTATCCCACTAGAGGGCCCATGGCTAGGGCTGAAAGTATCACTCCCTTCTCCAGAGACACCAGACAATTGCTCCCAGGGACAGAAAGCTGGACTTTCTGTTGTTTGTCTCCTTTTTTGATTCTTTTTGGGTTTGTTTGGTTTCTGTTTTTTCCCCCTGATGTGTCAGTCTCTCTTAAACACCCTGGAATTGCTTTCATTTTATTAACCTTTCACATAAGTTTTCCCAACAGGCACCAAAAATCTGTCAAAGGTTTGTTACTTTAACAGCTTGATCTGAGCCAGTGACCCAGCATAGAAAATTTTGTATCCCATTACTCAATCCTATAGCCAGTATATGCAACTGTCTTTTTTTTTTTTTTTTTCCCCCTGTATTTAAACTATAAACGTTATTACAAGAAAGACTGTTGAACTCACGGATCATTAGACTTGGGGATGAGTGTGCCAAGCTCCTTGATTCGGTAATTAATATTATACCTTCTTCTTCTCTCAACTGTTAAAAAGAAACAGTTACTATTTTTATGGTGAAATATTCTTGGAGAAATTCAACATAAAAAATTTTAATCAGATAAAAAAAAAATCTGTCAATGTACAGAAAAGTTATTCCTCAAATAGAAATCCCAACATGATCTCTTACCTGTCTGACTCTCAGGACAAACCTCATGATTAGTACCATCTCTGTATCTCACCCTAGCTATATGCTTCTTCCCCCCCTTACAACTAGACCCCTAGAGAATGAAACAGTCATATAAGGTCTAAATGTGAGCTAACACTTCTTTTTTATTATATTTATGTACCTTTTCTTCACCCTGATCCCACACAACAGAGTTTTCAGCTTAGTGGAGTTTTGCTGATGACTTCAACAGGGACACAAGACAACTCATCCAGCATTCCATATTTTGGCAGAACTCCTGCTACAGATCACATTTAACAGCTTCAGTATGCCTTATGTATGCTTATCAGCACTGCAAACCACAGCGAGTGCATAACTGCAACCATATTCCTTCACTAAAACAGAGAAAGATTGTGTCCCAGAAACAATTCAACCCCAGCACATCTGTTTCCTTTGGTGATGGACAACACAAGTGTGGTACTGTAACTTTTTAAACACACAGAAAATGAAGAAAAACTTAATTTAAACAATTTTTTAAAAGTTCTCTGTATTTACATTTATGCTTCTTGTAAGACTATGTATGGTATTTTCATTTACTTGTAATTTAGTTAGAAAGGAGAAAGGAGAAGTCTCCTAAAATTAGTTTCCCCTTTCTGTGCTTTCAGTCCACTTCATCCGCATTGTACCGGTATCCAGGCTGGAGTATGTGACTCCTCTCTGCACAAAGGGTCTGTCACTTTTCTGCTTCTCATTTCACTAATTTAGAGAGAATTCTCCTTTACTTCCTCACCAGTATTTCTCCAGCTACTTTACATGCAGAAACTTCACATTTTCTAATGGATAGGCCCAGAGGACATCTCATGGCTTTGGGGGATTTCTTATATATAAATGTGACACAGAAAGTCTATTCAGTGAGAACCTAGTCCTGTTGTGTTGCTGTTAGCTGTCAGAGACCAGAAATGATGTTCTACTGGCATGAATCCACACTTTTGGTCACTTCCTCCATGTTGTACTTTAAATCAATTCAAACCTCACTGAATGAACAGGATACAGCTTTGGTGCATCACTAGAAGTGCATTAAGCTATTTCTCTTATCCCTTGTTTTTTGGAAGACCTTACCTCGGGCTCAATGTGCTATTGTCACTGTACTCTGTCAGACCAGACCTGGTCAGCCTAGAACATGGGCAGAATGGATACATGCTCCCCTCATCTATGTATCAATGTGCACTTAAAGTTTGGTATCTTAATTTTGAATATAAGTACAGAAAGCCTGATAGAGTTAAATTAGAAGTGAGCAGCCAACGGCAGCCTGGTGGGTCTTGTTAGGCTGACTTCAACCTTCTCACAGTCATGCAAGCATATTGCTTTCAATCTCAGCTCCACCACATAGATCACTTCTAGTTCTTTACTTCTTCCGATACATAAAGGTGTTTTTCCTTCCTGTCTGTGTGAGGCTCAGGTTTGTGAACATCAGCTATTTCTTCCCTAGCTGATTCCAGCTCAGGGAACTCCCAATGTGCTATTATTTACCCTGATAAAGTGATCTGCCCTGGTAAGACATATTATCTTGTTTTACTCTCTCTAAAATCAGGAATTTCACTCAACAGATCAAGCATCTCAGGTTTTTCAGCCAAAATTCACATATTCAGGAGACAGAGTTATAATCCTCCTCAGTGTACTGTTAAGTGACCTGTTGCATCCCATTGGCATGAATGTGCTGGATCTCGTAGAACACAGTGTACAAAAGCACGTAGCAACTGAACCATTTAAGAGATATAGTTCAAGTGTGTTGGCAAAATAATGGCAGAGCAAACAGAGTTAAAGAATGTGCATTATCTGTACAATCATATGGCATAATAGATGTTTAATTAATAATTTCAGCATGGAAAGACTCTGCAAGATATTCATTAAAAAGTAGTTAACTAACCATTAGCTCCAAAACAAGTCAAAGAAAAAAATTTCTTTACAAGTGGACACTTACAGAATTCTTTTTCTCTCTATTTCACTGGTTTTTCCTGAGAAGAAACTTCCAGTGGTTATACTAGTGAATTAGGGGGGAAATTCTGATGCTTGGAAACACGTTTCAATAGAGTTTTTATTGACTTATGTCTTATGTTCTGATTTATGTGGTATCCTGAGTTATCAATAATATTTCAAATACCAAGTTATACCAAAGCCAAACCAGAAAATTATTTTTCAAACTACAGGGACAAGATGACCATATAACAAACAAACATTACACCCTTAATTTTTTGTTTGGAAAAAACAAACAAACAAACAAAAACCAACAAAAACCCCAAACAAAATACATTTAGTAATGGTTTAAACTCTTGCTGTTACATGAATCTTAAATCTAAATGCCTTTCAGGGTTTAATTGAGGATCTAAACTTTCAAAGAGAACTTTTTTCTAGCTCCTCTTCAGTACTAAAAGGTACAAGAACATTTCTGTAAAATGTGGACCTTAATTCAACCTGAAACATGAATGTTTGTATAAATCTTATCAAGTTATAGAAACTGATTTTTCAGACCATTTCTAAAAAAGCTGGTACTCATAAAAGAGTAAATCATACTGATAAAGCCTTTATATGTAATTCATTAATATATCCAAGCCATCAGATAGTAGAGCTATCTCCAGAGAGACTTTGAACTCTGAAGTATACACCTGGAGCCAAACCAGCAGAGATGCGGCTTATCTGTGTGTTATCCTGGCATACAGCCTTCAGCTCAGTTGCCAGTGGTGAGGGACAGTTCTCAGACATATCTTCTGTGTTCAGGAAGTGTGATCTCAGAGCCAAAACAAACAGTAGATGCAATGGTAAGACCTGGCACTGTATGCATGTGCCAGTCTTTTCCCTTGCAGTTCCAGACAGCTCTTACCCATCACCTTTCCTAGTACAGCAAAACTCCCCATTCCTGCCCAAACCACACAGCCAGCTCCAGCACAGACACTTCAGAGGAGATAGGAGATGTGCTAGCAGCAGGCCTAAAAATCTACATGGTCTGTCTGTAATCCACAAAAAAGTACAAACAGAAATAATCCTGCCTTCTGTAAAGTCTAAGTAACAGAAAGTTGTCCACAGAGGTTGCTGGCATATTGTACCAGTGGATGTATACTTCCAGGTATGTAATTTCATTCAAGTAAAGCCATAAATCCTTCTAAAATTACCAGAATAGCCAAAGAAACAAGTGATAAATAAGAGAACAAAGATATAAACAGTGCCTATTGACTAATTACCAATTTAGGTTTAAATTCATAGAATCTTGACTATCTGAAGTTGGAAGGTACTCAGAAGAATCATTGAGCCCTTCTCGCAGACTATTTCTGCTGGAAAAAGTGGAAAGGAGAACTGGAAATTGCAGATGCTTTATTCAATACTTTCAAAAAAGAATCCTTCAGGTTTTTTGTTTCAAATTAGTCTTTAGAGGGAAAAATTGCCTAATTTTATAGGCAATCTTTCAGCAATAATTTTTCTTTTTCTCTCTGGATAAACCAAAATGTTGTTTGTTTTTATAAATATAATTTATAATAATTTATAGTTTATTTTATAAATTTATTTTTTACACAATGTGTTCTAAGTCTAAACTACAAAAGAATATTCCTCTAGAACTGAAGTATCTAACATCTATACATGGCTGCACTGTTCTCAATAAAGGAAACAGAAGTGTATACCAGTCTACAGAGGTTAGAGGGCTTATATATCAGAGCAAAGAGAGAGCACCATGAGTCTCACCCAGTCCTGCCCTCATCTTCTATTGTGATATACAACTTTCACAACTTTAGGTGCATAACTAGCATTTAGAAGTTGTCTGATATCCTCTGTACATTTTTTCCTTCCCATCACCCATAGAGGGATACAGCTTCTCAGCTGGGTACTTCAGTAACGTGTGAAGACTGGATTTTCACTGTTGTTTTTTTTTTTATCATCTGCCTCCTTTCTTGTCTGTTTGGACTGTAATTCTTGGAGGCAACATCAAGTAAAGCATGCAGGATACATGTACAATTGTAGAATAAAAAAGTAGTAACATGAGATGCTATAGAAAGAAATTCATTATGGTATGCAAAGTATTTTGAAAGACAAAAGTCAAAGACAGAAAATAATTTCAGGGAAGAAAGCTCTGTGGTTAGTTGTGTTTGCAGTCTGGGTTCAATTTGATTACGCTGGTAAGATGCTGATCTAGCAGAAGAGCAGAGATGTGATAGCTAATGTATATTATTTTTGCATTTGTCATACATTCCATTTAATGAGATGGAAGATTAACATATACTTACTGAGATTGTGGTTATCCTTTTTTTGTCTTTCCTTTGCCATTGCTCGTGTATCTGCTTCTGACAGAAAGTAACATTTATTAAAACAGTCCTTAAGCTGCAATTCTACTACTTTTTCATTTTTTCAAAATGGCCTCTTGTCACAAAGAGCAGCCTTCTAGTGTTTTTACTTCATTACTCTTTTTATTATTAAACAAGATCATAAGAAAATCTATATTCTACCAGTATTAATTTTGAGCAAGTCTGGCAGGTTGCTTAAGATTGTTTTATTGCACATTTTTTATTTGAGAACATAGAAATGCCATAGAAGGGCATTTTTCTCCAATTTGTTGTATTTTACATAAGAATAAAACTTACAGTACACTAATGTGAATATGGATTTGTATATCCCATAATGCAAGAGTTAATCAGATTTGTAAAATATTGAACAAACTCACTGTTTCCTCTGAGTGACACTAATAAACTGTACATGGTTGGTAACATTCTTTGGATTAATTGAATGTAACTTTTAAAGTTGTTAATCCACTAGTAGAAATTTACCTTGAATAGCCTTATTGTAATGTTTTAAAAGAACCATTTGTTCTACACTGGAACAAATTTAATGGATGATAATTTATTTATACCATTGATCAGAAGCCAACATGTGGAAGAATCCACTATGTTTCCTAAAATAATTAAGATTATTAGAAATATGACCTTCATAAGAAACAGGGCAAATATGGTTTTGGAATTGCTAAAGAAGAAAACAGAAAGAAAATATTTCCTTGGTGTTTATTCTTTTCCTTAAATGAAACTACAAACTGCAGAATTCTCAGGAATTTAATTATGGACATCTATTTCATGGGTAAGATTTATTCAGCTTTGAAAAGGAACACCATCATTACTGCAGTTAGAAAATACTAAAATCTGAGAGTTCTTTTACCTGTGAGTTCCCTTTTTACTGGTAGATTAGCTGGGCAAGAAGCATTTGTGAGACCCATATTAGCTGATGCCATTCCCTGGTCACTGTTATATATATCCAAAATGCTGCTAGATAGCTTGAGGGGTAGCGGGAGGAAAGAAAAAAAAAAAAAAGTATTTAAGTTAAAGACTTAAAATATATTAAAAAAATACAAAGAACAAACATCTTTTAATATAAGTCTGATGTTCTTTAGAAAGAGCTATGTATATGTGTCTAACAGGAAAGATTACCATTATATAGTATTAAGTAAAACTGAAATGAAGGGTTGAAGGGTCACAGTCTGCCACTGTTCCACAAGCAGCTTTCTAAGCGCTGCTTGTGTGGGTTTCAGATGCAGAGTGATGGCATGATATTGTTTCCAGTGTCTGTTTTTCAATTACTTCCATACTGTATTTTTCACTAACAGGATTACCACAACTGCACTTCAAACATGAATTAGGTTGAAAGTGAAAATAACCTTGCTGGTTTTGACCTACTCCCCAGTGATTTTTTTAACCACATCACTAAACTCCAAATTGGTGCTTCATACTGTGTCTGGTTTAGCTGCATAAAGATTCAGTGACCCAGTTAGATGCAATGGTTAAAACTAGAGTGGACAGAACATCAAACAATGTGTTTTAAGGAAAGAAACTGCTCTTGTCAGGATAGACCAGATAACCTAAAGATTTTAACATGCGTAACATGATTATGTATACCATTATCCTTATTACCTTTCAAAATGTATTATAATATTATTCAAATGAACCCATAGAATGCACTTAAAGACAAGTAAGGCTAAAGTATATTTCTGTGGATCCCAGATAATTAACTAAATACTACTTCTATTTGAATAATTTTACAAATCTGAAATAACTGTAAAATATGTAAAAGTTTAGTAAAAAACATTTCAGGTTTTACTCAGTTTCTATGACCATATAACCAACTCATCAGCACCTTAAATATTTCTGTAAGCTCATGTGAAAACAACTGTATAAAGAGTCCAAGTCCAAATTCACAAAGAATATTTGCATTCTTACTGCCTTCTAAGGCAATAAGAGTAATGTACTTTTTTATTTTTTCATGCATATAAATTTTGCGCTGATGTTATTTTGTTTTCTTTTGTAGCCAACACACAAGGACTCAGAAATTGAGTGTGGGTCCACCTGGCCAAGGAAAAAGAAAAAAAAATAAAAAAAAGGAGGAATGTGAAAGAAGTGAGGAAAATTGTGTGTAAAAATACTGACTTGAGACAGAAACCATGAAAGGACATTGGGAGTTTTTTAAGAAATTTTTTTTCATAGGCAAGGAAATGTTATTTACATATCTGCCCTGCACCCATGGATCCAGAAACACCCTGTAATTTTTCAGGCAGGTCACTGAGACACCAACCATAGGTCTGCTAGGAAACAGCTTTTTTTAGATTCTGATTATTTCTTTTCTTGTAGAGACTGTGAATTTCACCACAAGTTATTTTGAATGGAGACACTTTCCCAATGACCTGCTCAGTGTGAAATTGTTCTATGGCAGTGCTTGCTATATTTTTATATTAAATCTGAAATTTTAAATAAGTCTTATTTTTAAATAATTATTTTACTAAATTAACTAATAACTTTACTAAATTATCTGAGATCCTAGTTAGTGTTAAATTCTCCCAGTTGTATAACCTACAGTGAAATTAAGCACCCAGGATTCTTTCTGAATACACAACATGCTCATTTTTAAAGTAGAGTTTTATTACTTAGGAGAACTGACAATTCTTAAATACCATTAGAAATTACAACACCAAGCAGTTTTGAAAATCTGCTAACATATTTGATCTCTCAATAAAAATACTTTTTAAAAGAATGTTTGGAATTCAGTTGAGAATTACTCAAGAACAAGCTATGTTTAATATACAGGACTGAATGCTAAGTGCATTCGCGCATTAAGCACCTTTGTTTCATTCCAGAGGGGTAAACTGAGAAGTATTACAGAGTTCACTGCAGCTTTACCTTTCCATTTGCTATGTGCCAGAGATGGTATAATTACATTACAAGACTGAACTTTTATTAGCTCTATATTCATGTTTAATTACATCTGGCATTCATGTAAATGAATTTATTTAAATTATATGAAAACAGAATGATATAAAAAATACAGTCAGTGTGACTCCTACACTTATTCCAGTGGACTTTGGATAAGGTTGTTATATGGCTTAGGCTACTCTTTTTGCGAAATCACACAGAATCATTCAGGTTGGAAATGACCCTTGGGATCTTCAAGTCCAACCATCAGCCCTACTCTACAAAGTTCTACCCTACACCATATCCTCCAACATCTCATCTAAATGACCCTTAAACACATCCAGGGATGGTGACTCCACCACCTCCCTGGGCAGCCTATTCCACTGTCTGACCACTCTTTCTGTGAAAAATGTTTTCCTAATGTCCAGTCTAAACCTCCCCTGCTGCAGTTTAAAACCATTCCCTCTTGTTCTGTCACTAATTCCCTGTGAGAAGAGACCAGCACCAACCTCTCTACAATGTCCTTTCAGGTAGCTGTAGAGAGTGATGAGGTCTCCCCTCAGCCTTCTCCTCCTCAGACTAAACAGTCCCAGCTCCTTCAATCGCTCCTCACAGGATTTGTTCTCCAGGCCCTTCACCAGCTTCGCTGCCCTCCTCTGCACTCGCTCCAACACCTCGAGATCTCTCTCGCATTGAGGTGCCCAAAACTGGACACAATACTCCAGGTGTGGCCTCACCAGTGCAGAGTACAGGGGACTGTCACCTCCCTACTCCTGCTGGTCACACTATTTCTAATCCAAGCCAGGATGCCGTTGGCTTTCGTGGCCACCTGGGCACACTGCTGGCTCATGTTCAGCTGCTTGTCAATGAGAACTCCCATATCCTTCTCTTCCAGACAGCTCTCCAGCCACACCTCCCCAGGGCCTGTAGCCATGCAGGGGGTTGTTGTGGCCCAAGGGCAGGACCTGGCACTTGGCCTTGTTGAAGCTCATCCCGTTAACGTTGGCCCAACGATCCAATCTATCCAAGTCTCTCTGCAGAGCCTCCCTATCCTCATGCAGATTGACATTCCCGCTTGTCTTGGTGTCATCTGCAAACTTACTGATGATACACTCTACGTCCTTATCAAGATCATCAGGAAAGATGTTAAACAGAAATGGTCCCAACACCGAGCCCTGAGGAACACCGCTTGTGACATTGTGAAATGCTGGGAAATAGTAACCATTGAAAATAATACAATCTAATAAATAAATTAGACATATAATCAAACAAATGAGAAAGGCATATCTATCTTATTTTACATATTTCACACAGGAGTGTGTACATGAGTTCAATAACACATTAAACTGGTGGTAAACTTTTTAATTGATAAGAACGAAAAAATCAAAAATCTAAACCATAGTTTGACAGAAACACCTGATATGATATGTCAATGATTTCTTCTAATTTTCAGGCAGTAATTCATCTTTATCCCCAAAATATAGTTAAGTTTAAATAATCTATTCACAAAGGAGTAAATTCAAATAACAAGGTCCAAATCCAACAGAAAAGGTTGTGAATGACCAACTTGGCTGATAATGAAAAAATAATAGCAACACAACTGAAAGTTCAGCAGTGTGTGAGGGTTCAGAGGAGAGTGAGTAAACTCAACAACCCAGCTAGAGGTTTTATCTGAATTTGATTACACAGTTGATGAAGGTACTTATATCTAATTTAGATGCTATTCTCTGAAGTGATAAGAGTTCGTATGTCTCTTTCTATCTGCAGAACTGTTGGGGTAGTGTCATTCCACATGTCCAGGGCTGTAGGTAAATATCTATCCATGGTCTATGTCTGGTTGCACTAGTGCCTCCATCAAACAGCGAAAGTCATGAAATATTTTACCAAATGTTCCATATCATCTTTAGTTCACACAGATAGTCTCCAGCATTTACCCTTCATCATTTGGCAATTTTTATCAGTCATTAGGAAAGCAGAGTTATAACTCCATGTAGAAATTATGAGAATTAAACCCAAACCCAAGTTATTCATCTACTGATGTCTACAATCTTATAACCTCACTAATTAAAATGATTCATATATGTGTTAATCCAGAATGGATAGGCAAGGAAATAGAGGTGGTGGGGTGGCCCTATATGCTGGGGAATGTTTTCACTGTCTAGAACTTAATGATGGTGATTATAAGGTTGAGTGTTTATGAATAAGAATCAGGAGGAAGGCCAACAAGGCAGATATCATGTTTGGAGTCTGTTATAGACCACCCAGGCGGGATGAAGAGGTAGATAAGCATCTGGGACAAGTCTCACAATACCTAGCTCTTGTTCTCATAGGGGTTTTCAACTTACCAGCTGTCTGCTGGAAATATAATGCAACAGAGAAGACACACTCTAGGAGGTTCCTGGAGTGTGTGGAAGACAGCTTCCTGACAAAGCTGGTGAGTGAGCCAAGTAGGGAAGGCGTCCCATCAGACCTGTTGTTTGTGAACAGTGAACTTGTGGGTTATGTGGTGGTTGGAAGCCATCTTGGTCATAACAATCATAACATGATAGCATTTTTGATTCTTGGAAAAGTAAGGAGGGGGATCAGCAGAACTGCTACCTTGGACCTCCAGAGGGCAGACTTTAGCTTGAAGACAGAGTCCCTTGGGAGGCAGAAAGGAAGAAAATCATTATCAAGAAAGAATTCAGGAAGGAAATCTTAAAGGCACAGGAGAAGGCTGTCCCCACATGCTAAAAGACAAGATGATGGGGAAGAAGACCAGCCTGGCTGAACAGAGAGCTTTGGCTGGAACTCAGGAACAAAAGAGTTTATGAGCTTTGGAAGAAGGGGCAGACAACTCAGGAGGACTACAAGGGTGTAGTGAAGTTATGTAGGGAGAAAATTAGGAGGACCTAAATAGAATTTTATTTGGCTACTGTTATAAAAGACAATAAAAATGGTTCTATAATTATATTAGCAACAGAAGGAGGGCTAAGGAGAATCTCCATCCTTTATTAAATGCAGAGAAAACATAGTGACAAAAGATGAGGAAAAGGCTGAAGTACTTAATGCCTTCTTTGCCTCAGTCTTTAATAGTAAGACTAGTAGCTCTCCA